TACAAACGCCACAACGCAAACGCAAATGCCGCAACACATTAAAAAGCCACAACACATCAAAAAGCCATAACAGAAGTGACAGCGGGACTCTATTTTCCGACGGACCGATCGAGCGGCAAGTGAAGAAAAAGAACTACAACGTGAAAAGTAAAGGAACAGAGAAGTTGGAAACCCAAGTCAAACCCGAGTCAAACATACTGTGATTCCTTTTAATGTCAAAATGCACCTGTCAAGAGACACGCTCACAACACCCACTTTAAACTCAAGGCTGTTCTGAAGTGAAAGTGCGTTTAGCTGCGTGGGAGCAGTGGATGAGAGAAGGAGAACACACATTCACCAAGACAGAGAGACAGCGCCGAGCGACTTACGCCACGATCTGCCGACGGATCGTGGACGCCCCGAATGAAAGGATCAGGATCAACTGTGGTCCGAGCTTTCACCAAGACCAGAATCATCACTAAACTGAACTCCAGGGAACAGTAACCACACTGACTCAGATAATGACGAGAGGAATGTGGACGTGTGGACGCAAGAATCACCCAACTGTTTCAACTATTATGACTTATTGTGAATACACGAACAATTTAGTGTTTCAGACAGGATTTTTTTACACGTTACAATTGAACAAAGTTGAGAGTTATTGTTAAAGTTTGACTGACTTATCTAACTGTTGTGTTTCGTTTAAAGTCCGGTGTGGTTTATATGTGGAAAAAGTTCAAAAATAGACCATTCAACAACAGTGCACCTTATAATCCAGAGCCCCTATAGTGTAGAAAATACGGTAAATCTCAAGTTTGAATCAAGTCCCCAAGTCCTAGACAGGCCAAGTCCAAGTCACTGTTTTGACAGTTTTGCGTAAATTACCAATAACAAAGTGTTTTTTTGAGAGAGAGAAATGCTGAATAAATGCATCGTGTAACTAAAAAATAATCGTGACTTCAATATTGACCAAAATAATCGTGATAACGATTTTTTTCCATAATCAAACAGAATCCGTGTATCATTCATTCATTCATTTTTCAATATAAAACCAAAAATAAGAAAACGAAAACACAACAGTTTTCTTCATTATTTGTCTCCAAAACCAAAATGAAAAAACAGATAATGATTCATTTTTTTCAGTTTTTAGATTTTTTGTTATAACGGCCGTTTCCCGTTTACGTGACTTCCCTGACTGCAATGTAGGACTTTTGCAGTCTCAGTCTCGCTGGTCTGGTGTCGGTCTCAGTCCCACTCTGGTCTCGGTCTGGTCTCAGTCTCGGTCTGGTCCCACTCTGGTCTCGCTCTGGTCTCAGTCTCAGTCCCGCTCTGGTCCCGGTCTGGTCCCGGTCTGGTCCCGGACCTGGATCAGTCCTGGTTTAGTCCGTACGTGGTGCTAAACTCCGACATCGCAGTCACGGAAACGTCCATTATCCGTTTTTCCCATTTTCCATTTAAACACAAAATCGAAAACTGAAAAAACAAATCATTACCTGTTTTTTTCATTTTGGTTTTGGAGACAAATAATGAAGAAAATCTTAGTTTTTTCATTTTATTATTTTTGGTTTTATATTGAAAAACAAATGAACGAATGACACACGGATTGAACAGCTCTAACTGAATCTAAATCTGCTCCCGTTACCCATAGCAACAGGTTTGACTGACAGCGCCGCTCGGCCCCCGCCCCCCGCCGTAACCGACGACATTTTCTACATTTTTCCGCATGCGAAAACCAAAACAAGGAACCGTCTCGACAACCGATTCATTCTGACATATTTTTATAGCTCACAGATGCTAATTACGTCGCCGTCCAAAACTCAGACCCAACATGGCCGCTGTTTGTATCTGCTCATAAACTTCCCTAAACAACACAATTCACTATTTATGCATCTCCGACGATTCCGCACCAGCAGTTTGGGGTTTCGGGTTTTCCTCCGCTAATCTAAACCAGAGTCTGTTTTGTCTGTCAGCGAGCCCGAGCATTTCGCGGGCCGCGGCAGGAAACTGTGACCAAAGGCAGTAGCGCTATCCTGTGTCGCCATGGTCACCGGGGAGGAAGAGGAGGAGGAGGAGGAGGAGGAGGGGTGTCGTCCAAGCGCCCGGGGGTGGTTAATGGGGGGGGGGGAGTAAAGTGAGACGATTGGAGGTCGGAGCGAGCGCGGGATCAAAAGGAGGTCTATGGGCAGGTCTGGAGGAAGGAGGGAGGAAGAGGAGGAGGAAGAGGAGGAGGAGGAGGAGGTAATCAGAGGACCCGTGCACCGCTCTCTCTCCGGGGACGGAATCAAACCAACACAGAAAACATCCAGACACAAGCAGCCCGTGTGCAGCTTGGACACGTTTCAGGGTTTCATAGGATTTCCAAATTCAAAAACCCGAGAAGCGAAGTGTTGAAGTCGACCTGTTCTGCAAAAACAACTTTCCACAGCTTTACGGTTTTTTATTTACTCACCTAAAGTTGTATTTGGAGTGATTTGCGCGTGTTTGACGACTGTATTTTTAACTAGAAGTCGCGCTTTTTTTCACGGTTTGGGTGTTTCCTGCGACTTATAAATCCGTGTGTCGTTCGTTTGTTAGTTTTTCAATATAAAACCAAAAATAAGAAAACGAAAAAACAACAGTTTTCTTCGTTATTTGTCTCCAAAACCAAAATTTAAAAAAAGGAAAACGATTTGTTTTTTCAGTTTTCGATTTTGTGTTTAAATGAAGAATGGGAAAAAATGGATAACGGTCGTTTAACGTTTACGTGACTTCTGTGACTGCGAAGCCGGATTTTGCGTCACACACGGACTGAACCAGGACTGATCCAGGTCCGGGACTAGAGTGGGACCAGAGTGGACTCCAATTCTCCGTGGGGTCCAAGCCTTAACTTCGAGCTCCGGCTGTGGACTCTGAGCCTCCAGTCTGGTCCTGGTCTGGTCTCAGTCCCAGTCTGGTCCTGGTCTCAGTCCCGGTCTCAGTCCTGGTCTGGCCCCGGACCTGGATCAGTCCTGGTTCAGTCCGCATGTGGCGCAAAAGTCCGGCGTCGCAGTCATGGGAAACGGGAAACAACCGTTATCCGTTTTCTCCATTCTTCATTTAAACACAAAATCGAAAACTGAAAAAAACCAAATCATTATCTGTTTTTTTCATTTTGGTTTTGGAGACAAATAATGAAGACAACAGGTGTTTTTTTGTTTTCTTATTTTTGGTTTTATATTGAAAAACAAATGAACAAATGACACACGGATTCTTATTCTCCAGTGCGACTTATATATTAAAGTGTTAAGAGTGAAGTGGTGAGAGGTTCTAGTCTTGTGTGTGAGAATCTGCTGCTCCTGTTCCTCCTGTTCCACTGTCACTTGGCTCTACTGCACATGTTCAGCAGAAAACGATAAACGAGCAGCAGAAAGAAAGTTTGGAGTGAGAGAGAAACTTGTGACACCGGGAGGATGAACCATGAAACTTTCCTGAAGTCACTGGATGGATGGACAAAGTCTGGACTTCAGAGACACAGAAACCATCCTGTCGGGATTCAGAAAGACCCGAATAATTCTAACTGTTTTTTGTATTTTGAGTTCATTTTTTGTCATTCGTAGTCAGTGTCGGGGAGTAACAGATTACATGTACTGGGGTTACGTAATCAGAGTACAAATGATGAGTAACTGTATTCAGTTACAGTTACTGTTTCAGTGAGTGGTAATTGGATTACAGTTACTTTGTTGAAATAAATGGATTACACAGAGGTATTTTCCTGTTTTCACATTTTGGGCTAAACCCCCCTTTTTTTTTTTTTTTTTTTCGGTAATTCCACTCATTGCCAGAAACTAAACCAGGTCTAAACCAGGACTAAACCAGGACTAAACCAGGACTAAACCAGGTCTAAACCAGGACTAAACCAGGACTAAACCAGGACTAAAACCAGGCCTAAACTAGATCTAAACCAGGTCTAAACCAGGTCTAAACCAGAACTAAACCAGGACTAAAACCAGGCTTAAACTAGATCTAAACCAGGTCTAAACCAGATCTAAACCAGGTCTAAACCAGAACTAAACCAGAACTAAACCAGGACTAAACCAGGACTAAAACCAGGCTTAAACTAGATCTAAACCAGGTCTAAACCAGGTCTAAACCAGGTCTAAACCAGAACTAAACCAGAACTAAACCAGGACTAAAACCAGGCTTAAACTAGATCTAAACCAGGTCTAAACCAGGACTAAACCAGGTCTAAACCAGGTCTAAACCAGGACTAAACCAGGACTAAAACCAGGCTTAAACTAGATCTAAACCAGGTCTAAACCAGGTCTAAACCAGGTCTAAACCAGGACTAAAACCAGGCTTAAACTAATCTAAACTAGATCTAAACCAGGTCTAAACCAGGTCTAAACCAGGTCTAAACCAGGTCTAAAAAACAGGACTAAACCAGGACTAAACCAGGCTTAAACTAGATCTAAACCAGGTCTAAAACCAGGTCTAAACCAGGTCTAAACCAGGTCTAAACCAGGTAAAACCAGGACTAAACCAGGAATAAAACCAGGCCTAAACTAGATCAAAACCAGGTCTAAACCAGGTCTAAACCAGGTCTAAACCAGGTCTAAACTAGGTCTAAACCAGGACTAAAACAGGACTTAACAGGACTAAACTAACCTGCATGGACGTGTCTCCTCCTCTTCTATCAATAATATTTTTAATTAATATTTATTTTAATATTAATATTTTTCAGTAAAGTCTGGTGTTTTCATTTTCTTTTAGCAAACAAAATCTCTTATGTTACGATATCCTAGTTCCCTATATCCTTTGCTTCTCTACAGCAAATCAAGTAATCCAAAGTAATCAGATTACATTACTCACTTTAAATAATTTAATGGATTACGTTACAAACTACATTTTGGTGTATGTAATCTGTAATCTGTAGGGGATTACATTTAAAAAGTCACCTTCCCAACACTGTTCGTAGTTTTGATGCTTCAGTGAGAATCTACGGCGTAAATAACGGCGTAAATAAAGAAGAAACGTGAGTGAAAACGGTGCGTAGGAGCTTGTACCTTGATGCCGTCGTCCACCTGCATGTGTCCCTGCAGTTTCCCGTTGACGCTGAACACGCAGAAGAGGCCTCGCTCATAATAAACCACACAGTGTCCTTCAGAAGACGCCTGCACCAGACGGGGGCGCTCACACGACTCCGGGGCCTCCAGGGTCCTCAGCAGGTCCCCGTTCATGGAGTGGATCAGACACGGGCCCTCTGCAAAACACACACACACACACACACACACACACATGAGGTTCACAGGGCTTTACAGGAGTTTAAGACACGTGAAGTACTTTTTATTTTTTATTTTATTGTATTTTTTTTAAAGTTTGTGGGTCAGTTTGGTCTCGTAGCTCACAGGCTTTTATTTGGAATCTGCAAAACTGTCTCTCTGCACCGAAAGATGTTTTAATATTTGACTAAATCTACTTGAATTAAATAAGACGCAAGAAATTTAAAGTTGGTTCTTTTCATTTTCCTTTTTTAAATGTCCTAAAAATGTCAGTTTGACCAGTTTTTACATAAAATGCCTTTTTAAATCAAATAATTTATATTTTTTTAAAAAAAAGGAAATCTGAAATGAGCCTGAATACTGCAAATACTTTTTACTACAATACTAGTACTTGAAGCCTGAATACAACAAATACTTTTTACTACCGTACTTATACTTAAACCTGAAATAAGTCTGAATACTTCAAATACTTTTTAATACTAAAGTAATACTTAAAATCTGAAATAAGCCTGAATACTTCAAATACTTTTTAATACTGAAGTGGGACTTTAAATCAGAAATAAGCCTGTCTGACTACTGCAAATACTTTTTACTACTATACTAGTACTTATACCTGAACTAAGCCTGAATACTGCAAATATTTTTTACTCCCGTATTAATACTTAAAACCTGAAATAAGCCTGAATACTATAAATACTTTTTACTACTATACTAGTACTTAAACCTGGAATAAGCCTGAATACTGCAAATACTTTTTTCTCCTGTACTAATACTTAAAACCTGAAAAAAAGTCTGTTTTAGCAGATTTCATATAAATTACCTTATTTTTTAAATGAAAACATCACATGATGAAAAACTTGTAATACATTTTTTTCTTTACATTTTTGTGAGTGAAATACAGAGAAGTTTCAGATTGACACCTCGAAATTTAAGATTTATTTTCCTATTTACCTGCAGCATTTCAACTTTGTAGTTTAAAGGCAGTTGGAGAATTTCTTAAAATAATATATTAAGTTTGCAAGTTTGATGCTTGAGCAAGAAAGTATTTGAGGAAACTAAACCCTGCACAGACTCCATATTTTACTAAAAGTAAATATGTAAATTCAAATAAATAAAAACAATGACTTTATTCTGAGCTACAATGAGTTAATTTAACAAACGCTCCAGTTCATTCAGAATTTATGTTATTGGCCTTAGACATGACATGAGAGTATTTGATGAGTATTTTAGTATTTGATGACTGAGTATTTGATGAGTATTTGATGACTAAGTATTTGTTGAGTATTTGAAGACTGAGTATTTGATGAGTATTTGATGACTGAGTATTTGATGAGTATTAGATGAGTATTTGATGACTAAGTATTTGATGAGTATTTGATAACTGAGTATTTGAAGACTGAGTATTTGATGAATATTTGATGAGTATTTGATGAGTATTTGATGACTAAGTATTTGATGAGTATTTGATAACTGAGTATTTGATGAGTATTTGAGTATATGATAACTGAGTATTTGAAGACTGAGTATTTGAGTATTTGATGAGAGTATTTGATGAGTATTTGTTGAGTATTTGATGACCAAGTATTTGATGAGTATTTGTTGAGTATTTGATGACTAAGTATTTGATGAGTATTTGATGACTAAGTATTTGATGAGTATTTGAGTATATGATAACTGAGTATTTGAAGACTGAGTATTTGATGAGTATTTGAGTATATGATAACTGAGTATTTGAAGACTGAGTATTTGAGTATTTGAGTATTTGATGAGAGTATTTGCTGAGTATGTGAGTATTTCCCCACAGTAAAGTAACTGTGTGTGGTTCTGACCTTTGCAGCCGCTGATGACCAGGCCCAGCTCTGCACACACACTGGCACAGGTCACCTCACAGTCGTGCCCGGTCAGGATGGCGCGGGGCATCGTAAACTCCGCTGTAAAAACACAAACAAACACAAACAATAACGTCACTCACAGGTGCAGTACCAGCTGTGGACACTGGAGGGCAGCACACATCACACAATACTTCTACTGTAGACGAGCAGAACATGAAGTACATGTTTAATATGGTTTATTATTCAGAGTTTCAAAGGCTGAGGTGAAATTTTCAAGGAACTATTGGAAACTTTATAAACCACAACCTTAGAAATATCTTTTTTTAAATGTTTTTAAAAAGTTTGGAGAATTTATGTACATTATAAATCATGGGCTCATGTCTATACGCACGTATATATTTCTTCATGTGCTTTTACAGGCTTGTTTCTCAGACAATTAAAATGAACATCACTGTGGAGCACAGAGTCATAGTTTAATCAACCAGGATTCACTTCAGTTTAACGTCTGATTTAACTCATTTTATGTCAATAAATTGTCTTTTAACTTAACTCAAAATATAACTAATTTTACTAGAACTTATTTATCAAACTACTTATAATAATAATAATAATAATAATAATAATAGTAATTATTATTATTATTATTATTATTTATTACTTTTTTTTTTTTTTTCTTTAAGCTAAACATTATAATTTTTTTTTTTTTTATCCCAATTTGGCAATTTTTTAAGTTTACAATTTCTCACCAATATGTTTTGCAACTCTCTACTTCTTGTCATTTTTCAACTTTTCTCTTCAAATTGCTTCTGGATTTGCGAAAAAAAAAAAAAAAAAACTAAACAAAACATAATTTACATTTACAACAAGTATTATCCCACAAAAAAAAGTAAAAATTTGAAAATCAAATCATCAAAACCTGTTATACACACTTCAACATGAAACTTAATTCAGTAACAGGCAATAAAATAAAATAATAATCTGTTGTTATTAAAAATGCATAGATTATATATTAAAGTATAGATTTTATATTTATTTTTTATTTAGCGGCGTTAACTGTACGATATGAACTAGAATAAATTAAAATCAGGTCCAGAAACTTTAAATCTACGTAAACAAAACCCCGCGCGATCGCCATGGAAACGCACGGCAGCCTCCTCCCCCGTCCGTCCCGCCGTCCGCCCACACTGCTCCCTACGCCGCTCCCATAATGCACCGCTGTTTTATTGAATTCCATAACCTAATACAGGGCCTCTAATGAGAGCGCCGACCCGAGCCCCGGCTACTGTAAAACGCATTATTACAGCGAAACCCGCGGAGAGACTGTACCCGTGACCCCGGTGCATTGTGGGAGCCCCCGCTGTAAAAATGACAAGACACGGACCACGTTAAGGACTTTACTGAGGCCCGAGTCCATAAAGGCGCAGACGGATAATGTGTCCCAGCTCGGGCCGGAGCAGAAGGGCCGATTTCAACGGGCAAAACCAGATTAGCCGTAATTGAATTTTTTGGGCGTATAAAGACGTTTTACAGGTGAAATACGAGAACGTCGGTGTAACTCTGGGGCATGTAGATGAAATTTTAACTTTGCTACAATTATTTAATGCAGGGCTGGAGCTGAATCATTTTTGAATGTTCTTATAAATCCTGAAATCTTGCTTGGCTTTTTTGATTTCTCTTTGTGATTTGGGGACCTGATGAGTGCAAAAGAAAGATTATATGTTTATAAAAGTTTTAGAACACCACACTTTTCCCAGTTTTTACTTTTTAATGTAAATTTTTATGTATTTTAATGTTTAATGATTTGCAAAAAACGATTTATTAAGTGTCAAAACAGCTCAAAATACGTTGGATATACTGGTCAAAGGTTGTAGGACACCACACTTTTTCCAGTTTTTTACCGTTTACTGTCGACTAAAATGTATTTTTAACTTTTGATTCCTGAAAGTGTCGACCTTTGGCAGACAGAACAGCTGAACACACTCGTGGCTCGTTCTTTTTACAACAGAAATCAAATATTCTTTAGAAAGTTCTTCCCAAATCTGTTGCAGAAGTTCCTCAGTCGCAGTTTTCTTGAGGTAGTTTTGGCAGAGCTTGAACTTGTGTTTTGTATGTTTTATCTTTTTTTTAAACCTCTGTCTGTTCAGTTTTTACCTTTGTACCATTTCAAGTTCTTCATTGGACTTGCACGACTTGAATTGCAATAAAAAACTGGAAAAATTAGGGTGTTCTAAAACTTTTGACCTGTGGTGTATACGTCCATATATGAGATATAAAATCAGACATGTCAAACTCAGGCCCAGGGGCCAAATTTGGCCTGTGATATAATTATATTTGCCCCATGAGATCATATCAAATCTGTATTAGAGCTGCCTGCTGATTACAGATCGACTATAGAGACATTATTTATTTAAAATGTTGTTATCATTTTATATTTTGCTTGTTCTGGATTCAGTGTTTAAGCAAAACTGTTATTAAACATTTATTTTAATAAGAAAAGGTTTAACATGACATATCTCAAAAGAAGAGAAAACACGCAGATGTTGTTGAAATTTTTCAATAAATATTTAGTTTGGCCAACGACTTAGTCCCAGTTTTTAATTTTGGCCTCTGTGAATTTGAGTTTAATACTCCTGTATAAAACATTTATTTTATGTTTTAATCATTTTGATGATAGTCACCGTAAATGGTAAAAAAAAACTGGAAAAAGTGTGGTGTTCTAAAACTTTTGCCCGGTAGTGTACGTGTTCACATGTGTGGGAGGAGGCTACTTATCCTGTTCATGTTTCGACGGAGCTGATAAAGGCCGTGTACTTTTTATTCATTCATATCTGTTTGTCCAGCTTCTGATAAAAAAAACAAACTATGAATCTTATGATAGAACACGTGGAATATGAATGGAAAATCTTCAGTCACATCAACCATTCTGAGAAAAATCTGGACCAGTTTTTACTCCAAACCCACAAATAAAAAAATAAAAAAATAACATAATAATAATAAAAATTCCACCTGGACTTGTTTGCCTCATTCCAAGTCTCTAAATCTCCTGTTTAGTGAGATCGGCTTCAGTTTTGACATGGGAACTGTCAAGACCGAACATCAGCTCAATCTACCGTCTCTCAGTCCATCCCCGGGGAGGATCTACCTGCTCTCACATTTACCCCAAGAAATTTAAGCAGTACAGTTTAGTACAGTTACAGCAGCAGCAGGGGCCAAAACTCCAGAGCCTCTTTCAGCTTCACAAAGAGTCGAGCCATTCGTCTGTGCTTCAGAAACAGATACAGTTTGAATTGAGAGTCTCTTAGTCAGACATTATAGGAAAAAATATGGGCTGAAACAAAAAGTGGATTTATTATTTAAAAAAGAGACAGATAAAATATGAAATCTGAAATAAGCCTGTCTGAAAATCATTTTTGAGAATGTGGAAAAATACTACCTTGTGTGTATAAATGTAAGAAACTGTATGATTATTATTATTATTATTAAATCATTTATTAAAGATCTTGTATTAAACAAAATGGACTCTTGTGAGTTTTAAGTCATGTTATAATGTTGTTACCTCCTCAAAAACAGACCTGGAGTTGTGTTTTGTTTCATTCACACATGTTTGAGTAACCCTGCATTATCTTATATTATCTTACATGTACTGGAGTTATGTAATCAGAGTACAAATTATGAGTAACTGTATTCGGTTACAGTTACTGTTTCCATGAGTGGTAATTGGATTACAGTTACTTTGTTGAAATAAATGGATTACACGGTGGTATTTTTCAGTTTTCACATTTTGGGCTATTCCCTTTTTTTTTTTCCCTCTGTAATTTCACTCATTACCGGACACTAAACCAGGACTAAACCAGGACTAAACCAGGACTAAACCAGGACTAAACCAGGACTAAACCAGGACTAAACCAGGACTAAACCAGGTCTAAACCAGGTCTAAACCAGGACTAAACCAGGACTAAACCAGGACTAAACCAGGACTAAACCAGGTCTAAACCAGGATTTAACAGGACTAAACCAGGTCTAAAACAGGATTTAACAGGACTAAACATGCTGTGTGGACCATGTCTCTTCTTCTTCTATCAATAATATTTTTAATTTGGTTCAGTAAAGTCTGTTTTTTTTATTTTCTTTTAGCAAACAAAACTTCTTATGTGAAGATTTCTGAGTCTTTGTTTCTCTACAGCAAATCAAGTAATCCAAAGTATTCAGATTACTTTACTCACCTAAAGTAACTTAATGGATTCCGTTACAAACTACATTTTGGGGTGTGTAATCTGTAATCTGTAGGGGATTACATTTTAAAAATCACCTTCTCAACACTGATTATCTGTCTGCATGTGCAAAGCTCAGACATACTCTGGTCCACCTTGTGATGTCATGAAGAGGTAGTTTTGAAGTTAAAACAGCTGCTTTTTACCTTTTGTTCAGGAGAGATCAGGAATTCAACGGTTGAAATGATCAAAATCAGACATGTCAAACTCAAACTTTGGCCCACAATATAATTATATTTGCACCGCGAGATCATCTCAAATCTGTATTAGAGCTGCCTGCCGGTTACAGATAGACTATAGAGACATGATTTACTAAAGATTTTGTTATTGTTTTATATTATTCTTGTTCTGGATTCATTGTTTAAGCAAAACTATTATTAAACATTTATTTTAATGAGAAAAGGTTTAACATTACATAGAAAGAAAGAAAGAAAACATGCAGATGTTGTTGAAATTTTTCAATAAATATTTAGTTTGGCCAACGACTTAATCCCGGTTTTTAATTTTGGCCTCTGTGAATCTGAGTTTGGCACCTATGACCTAGTGGCTCCGCTCAATTTCATTTCTCTCCAGCAACTAGGTCAGGAATCAAAATACACATCGCAAAAACCCTGGAAGTGCGAGTTCGGGCACCAGCCAATCAGCGTAGAGTCATATATTCTGTGTTGTCAACTATTCCCGAAAAATGTTTAATTTTGGCCTCTGTGAATTTGAGTTTGACACCCCTGATTGAAATGATTCTAGTGACAGTTTATGGAGTTTAAAAACACAGTGGAGCACTTCCCGTATTACCACATGACATCACAAGGTGGAAGAGAGTGTTTTCAG